TGGGTGCATTAACAGCACTAGCAGCAAGCTCCCCTTTTAAGGCCCCAACAACAGCTTCCGCTATTTTAACAGCCACACCTTCCTGATTACGATAACCCAGCATCAAAGGGTAAACCAAGAGCACAGAATGGATAAAGAATAGAGAATGAAATAGAAGTTCCAGTATAAAGTGTACCTGAGCCTCTTTAGTACTAGCACCAAGATGAGGAGTTACAGTTACTTTTTCATGCTGCACCACTACATTGTCTTTTGGCGGGGCCTCTTCTGTGAACACATCAAGTGCAGCCTGAAAAAAATTAATGTCACTATCTTTCACCACCATCTAGTTACTGTACATAGAAGATTAAAGCTTTAATTAATGAATTAAACAAGAACCTGAGCGACAATTCCTGAATCTAGAGCGCGAAGTAGAGCTTCGTCATCGATTACACCACCACGGGCAACATTTACAATTCTAACACCTTTTTTCATCTTGGAGAATGCATCATCATTAAACATTTTTGATGTAGCAGGGGTAAGAGGCATGTGCAAAGAGATAAAATCAGCACTTGACAAAGCATCCTCAAAAGACACCGACTCCACACCTATTGCACGGGCACGGTCTACAGGGGCATATGGATCATGGGCTATGACATTCATGCCAAGTCTCTTAGCACACCTTGCTACTTCTGAACCAACCATCCCAAAACCCATTACAGCAAGTGTTTTTCTTACAAGGGACACCCCAACATACTTGCTCCTCTGCCACTTCCCTGTTCAAATCAAATCATACTGTCAAAGTAGTAACACACAAGAAGGTCCTAATACCAACACAATTACACTCACTGGAAATAAAAACAGACGCATAATTCAAGGACATTGCTTCTTTCTTGCCTTTTTGATCAAGGGCTTTATTTACAGTATAAAGCTAAAACTTTGAGAAAATAGAACTGCATAAATAATTGGAATTACAGATAAAAGAGTACTATAAGAAGCTCCATCAAATCCTCCTTAACACTGGAACTGCTCAAAGAAATGTCTAAATAACAGTAGAAAATTAAACTTCCCGCAAACTAAAAAAGGGAAAGGAATCACGAACCTGCCTTAACAGAAGCATCCGCTTGTGCAATATTTCTGGCCATGGACGCAAGCAAGGCAATCGCGTGCTCGGCGGCAGCAACAGTATTAGCTGTTGGGGCATTTACCACAAGACACCCATGTTCAGTAGCAGCAGACAAATCAACATTGTCAATTTCAACACCAGCCCGACCCACAACCTTGAGCCTTCCACCGAACGATTCAAACACCTCTCGAGTAACTTTGGTGCCGCTGCTCACGATTAAGGCATCACAATGTGAGATTTTCGTGCACATCTCTTCCGGACTCAAGTTGTAAGAGCAATCAACATTGGCGAAGTTCTTGAGCAGCTCGAGACCGGCTTCGCTGAGTTCCTCTGAGACGAGGACGATAGGCTTCGCTCCATCACAGAGGCAAGGACTACGAAGTTATTGCTGTTTGGATGGCGGGCAAAGAGGAGGCGAGAAGGGAGAGAGATACGCCATGAGGAGTTAGAGAGAGAAAGGTTCTTGTTTGGAGATAAAGCGAGATTCCATGAAGATGGCAACGCCATTGATGATAGCCAAGTATTGTTCTGATTTCCTCGGCCGTTTGTTTATCAAGAGAGAGCATTGTTTAAGAGTGTGCTCGTGTGTGAGGGGTATTGATTCGTGCTTGTTAACTACTTTATTCGTTTCTTTTCCTCGATGAAAATTGATAGTTGTTCGGAGAGAGCGAGATTCCATGAAGATGGCGCCGCCATTGATGATCGCCAAGTATTGTTCTGTCTTTCTCTGCCGTTTGTTTATCAGGAGAGACCATTGTTTTAGAGTGTGCTCGTGTGTGACGAGTATTGATTCGTGCACGTTAAGTACTTTATTCACTTCTTTTCCTCAATAAAAATTAACAGCTAATGAAAAAAGAATTTCTTTTAATATGTATTTTTAAAACACATGTTAAAAATATATTTTTTAATAAATTTATATAAAAATATAAAAATAAATATTGAGTTTAGATTTAATGTTATGTAAATAAATTTAATTAAATAATTAATAAATTTATTTTTTTATCAATAAAATAAGTAAATTTTATTTTACATAATACAATAAATACTTTAACCCATATATAAAATTAGGATACAACCAATGAAAACATTTTAACATAATCAACTCTTCCGGTAACTTCTACCTCTATACCTGACCCTTTTGGTTCATATGAAACTCCTTCTGCCTTCTTCTATGATTTCTTATAGTTGCAGCACTCTCTAGTGGATTAACCTTTCAATCACAAAATGAAAATACACATCCATGTACTTTATTTTTTATTAAATAATTGATAAATTAAATGTTACAAGTTATTTTAGAAAATTTTTAACCTTTGCCTTAAAGTATAGATTAAAAAAACTATGAAAAAATAGATTTTGCTTGGCTGCTACTTTTTTTGAACTTTAGAACAATAAGCATGAGGCATTGAAACTTTTCATTCTTTATAAACTCATCCCTGAAGGCAAACATTATCCGTCCATCTGTGAATGACTAGTGTTCTTTATTTGTATAGGTTTTTTCTAACTTACGTGCTATGGCACTCTTTTGTTATAAATTTATAGGAAAAAAGATATAAAAATTAGCACTAATTTTAATTTTATTATTATGTAAATAAATTTATTTAGATTATTAATAAATTAAATATCACTTTTATTATTTCAAAACTTTTAATATATAAAATAAAGATATATATTAAAAAAAAAATCTTATTTGCATTATTGCTGGATGCAGCATTTATCATCTGTCTCACTTGGTGAGAGCAGAAGACTCTGGGGATTCCACCATCCGTCGCCAACTGATTGTACGGACGATTTTTATTACAACAGCGCAATAGATCAGGTCCATCAGCTCAATATCTGACCCACGGTCTCGAACCGCGTTCACTAATGTCATCCCTGGCCCAACCCCACATGTCCTGCCCACCTCTACCAAACTGAGGTTAGCCTTGAGGCGGAGGAAATCTCAGTGTAATTGGGCATTGCCTTTATTAGTTAGATTATTATAATGGAGTTTTTTTATTTTTGTAATTTAAAATACATTACATTATAAAATAAAAATTATTAAATGAAAAGAATAACTTTTAATATTAAAAATTCTCTTTTATTTAATAATTTAAATTATACAATCTAGACTTTACAATACATTTTTCATTAAAATATATTTTCATTGGCTTTTTTCTTTTTTTTTTGAAAGTAGGGAATGGAATTGGCCTAGTAATAAGCTATTTCTTTTGGTCATTAAGGTTATAGCCAGTTCCAAGTCATACAGCATGATTGGAATGAATAAATGTAAACATTATATAAGCGCCAAAATATATATACATATATATAACACATAATTTTTTAATGAATTTATCTCCACAACATAAAAATTCTAGATCCTGCAGCATGCTTCATTGTTGCTGAATCTTCTTGTATTATTCTTATCTACTGCTCCTAAATTTGAGGATAACTTGCTAAATTAAGATTTGTAGACAAGGTTCATCCACAGCACAATCAACAAACAGAAAAGGAAACAGGAAAAAGATTTTGTTGAAGCATTGTTGCTGCTTAAATTAATGTTGGATTGATTATACCGAAGGAATGCATCAGCCAACTTCTGCCCTAGTGTCACCTGGGCCGTAGAGGTCAGGTGCAGTCTGTCTGGTTCAAGTAGTGGCAAACCCTTGGCGTCCACGCATTGCACGTTTGAAAGGTTTAATCCCAACTGAGCTTCCCTCACTATCTCCACATATGGCCCTTCCCCTGATGCTAAAGCTACCTACCAAAAGCAACCACCAACATTAGTCAACGTTGGTATGCTTTTCCTTTTAGGTTAGGTTGTTTTGCTCCCAACAAATAATCCAGGACTTAACTGGGGTTTACATGCCAAGTGATTGGTGCATGCACCCACAGCCCATGACCTGTCATATATGCTAGGAGTTCCAGTACTAATATAAAAACAATTTCTCCAACTCAAAATTTCGCAATATTTTTTTTTCAAAAATAATGTTTTATCAATTGTGTAAACAGGACCAAATTTTGATCGTAGTAATTAACGGTTTGCCCTAAATTACAACTACTGATCAATCCTAGGATTGGAAGTGAAAAACTTAACATTTGACCCTTGAACTTGTTCCCAAAAGTCAATTAATCTTCTAATACTAATTATTTTGTCAACTGAAACCTATTCATAAGTGGCATAACTGGCGTTAAATTAATCTCATTAAAAAACGAGATCAGGACTCTGTTCAAGGACTGTAAGTGTTATTAGGTTTTTCTTTCATTAAAGTCTAACCTTCCCGAGAAATAATGTTTCCTGGTTTCTTACCAAGAATATTATAAACAAATCAAAAGTGGGCAATGACTTTAGCTACTTGTTGGATTAATTAAATACTAAACAGAGTACACAACCTGTGCAAAATATATGTTTGTTAAGGCTTATGTAGCTGCAAATGAAAAAAACTAATAATAATAATAACAAAAACAATTATATAACGTTCTATAAGCAGATCTAGCAGAGTGATCATGAACGCTTTTATTAAACTTTTCTTTAAAATTAAAACCTCAACTTTATGTCCCTGAAAAGAAATATTAACATTAGGAGAACTTTGGATCAATATTTATGGTTTTCAAAAACTTAAACTCAAGATTTTCTTAGTAGTTAAGTCTCCACATTTGTATATCACTTACAATCTTTTGTTGGATGTGTATATTATGCATCAAGTTTAATAAATAAAATCAATATTTAGGCATCTATATATACTTCACATTAAACAATGTTACATCAATTATTTTTTCAGTAAAAATTACTTGTTTCATAAGAAAATTTAGATTATAACAGAGAATTTCATTCATATGTATGTTTAATAAAATGAAATGATAGAAGAAATTAAATTATGATACCTGAAATATTGGAAGACTAGGTGCCTGCAGATCAGAACGGAAATCTGTGAAGAACTTTGTCAATCTGCCTTTATATAATTCAGCTTCCTCTTTAATCCATGTATCACTTTCCCCTTGATACCAAAGCATGGCGGCATAAACGCCCCCGCCTTGCACCGCCGTCGTCGCCCTCCTCATCAGTTGCTGGTACAAAGACTCCCCTTTCTGCCACTGGCTTATGTTAGTCCCTCCAATTGCACAAGGTACCAATCCAACCGTTCCGAAACTCGGGTCCCGGGTCAATACCTCGTTAGCAAACGGCATTCCAGGGCCGATGCCGTTTACTTTGGTCGCATCAATGTCAGCATGGAGCGGCTCGCGGGCTTCAACCCATGTAAGGTTGACGCTGAGCCGCAAGATGGATGGGTTTGGCTGGCACTGTTCAGGAACCACGCCGTCCCATGTGATATTGTTGGTTGCAGCGTCGTAGGAAACCCCTCCCTGACCGGCCATGTTGCTCTGTCCGGCCAGAATGATGACGTTTATTTTCTGGGGAAGTGCATTCTGAGATTTAACCGGCGAAGGAGCCAAACAGGCGAAGAATACTATGAAGAAAAACATTCCAGGGATGGCAAGTGGGAAACAGAGTGTTAGATCTTTCCGCCCGTCAAATTGTTCCAGTACACACTGCGATAAGAGGAATGCTAGCTGCACTCGCCTTTCTCCAGCACTTTCCAACACTCTCTCATGTAAAATGTCCACGTAACAAACTTTGGCTCGCAATTCAAAGTTTCCAACTTAGAAAAGTTCACGTGGCTATTTTAGATGAAGGAGTGTTGGAGAGTGCAGCTAGCATTCCTCTTGCGATAAAATAAAAGAGGGTTGCTTTATATCACTCAATACTTGCGGTTTTGAGGCGGACACGTCGAAAATCATGACATTTTATTAACTAAAAAGTTATGAATAATAAAAAAATTAAAATATTTTAAATAAATTAATATACTAAAAATTTTATTTAAAATATTTAAATAATTTTATAAAAAAACTTTGAGATTTAAAATTTCAAAACCTCTAAATTTTTATTTTTCTATTTAAAATGGTACAACTTTCGAGGCACCAAAATAAAAAAAA